TGAGAAACTATTGCAAATTTGGGACAAAAAAGTATTTAACGTGCGTGGCACGTTATTCTAGCGCAAGAGGTTAACCACTTGTACTATCAACTGCGGACCATAACGAGTGACCAAACCGTACACAATAAAATTCGTCGCTCTCTTTTTGAATTCGTTGGTATGATATCACTGGATAGAAATTATTTAGAAGAAATAAATTTATTACTTGTTTTGCTTGAGTTATATTTAAATATACTAAAAAACTGAGAAACTATTGCAAATTTGACACAAACAGTGTCTCTACGTGTGTGGCACGTCATTCTAGCGCAAGAGGTTAAAAGGGTCAGTCGAATGAAAAGGGTTAGTGGAAACTTTACGCATCGGAGCTCTTATTTTCGAAAAAAAAAAAAAAAAAATGCCCTACTTTGCCCAGGCTCGCGTAGGATCGAGAGCGGGAGCAAGAAGAAAAAGAAGTACGCGTACGTAAACGTCTGCAATTTCGTAAGCTGGTTTTTATCGCTTCCGCGTCGCGCTATCGATGAATCGTTGGTTATCTAGACGTTACGCTAGACTAGACACACGAGCACGAGCGAAACCAAGCTAAAAAGAGAGTGTTTTCGACTGACTGTCGCTCGCGTCGTTCGTCGAATCGACGCGTGAAACAGCACAGTTTCGGACTCGATTTTCGACACTCACCTCCGTATCGTGGAAGAACTCGTACTTGAGGTAGTCCCGGCGAAAGACGAACTTTCGCGCGCGGCTCGAGGTGAACGCCCTGGTCTCCCTGTGCACCGCCAGAACGTCCTCGTGGTCCTCCAGCGCTCGCTCTGCAACGGTTCAAACCGAGTATTGTATTTTGAGAATCGGGGCGAGGGATTTAGGATTGATAAAGCGATGCTGCTTCCTCTCGAACAATACCAACCTATCCCCAACTCTGGCCACGTCTCCACGATCGACCAGTCGACACCGAGCGCGTGCCTCTTCGCTTTGAGGAGCTCGCAGAGGTCGACCGCGCGGAGGTCGTTCTCCACCGTCAGATCCAACGACGCGTGGTCGTCGTTGCCGCCGCCGTCGTCGTCGTCGTCGCAGTAGAAACGCAGTTTCTCCGTCTGTGCGCGGTTTCGACGCGGTGATCGAATGAAAAGAAGATGGCAAAGAAGAAAAATGGAGGGACGACGTGGAAAGTGTCGCAATGTCGTTGTTACCTGTTGGTCGCTGGGTTGGTTTTCCTCGACTCGCCGAGGGAGTCTCTTCAGCCTACCGGCCGGACGGTTGTTGGCGAACAGATTGCCAGAACCCTTGGGGCTGAGTCGTTGATAGTTGCGCGCGGACGGGGAACTGCCGAGGAACTGCGTGCTGTCGGTGTCTAGGCATGAGCACATCCTCGGCAGCCAATCTGTCGCGACGACAAGAGGAGAAAGAAAACGACGTGGGTAACAATGTCCGGGATTCTTTTGGCAACCTTCCTCCTCGGAACGGAGGAAGGAAGGAAGAAAGAAAGAAAGGAAGAATGCAACTTACCGCAAATGTTGGAACATCGTCGACGAACGAGAGAGAACCAAGCGACGGAGGAGCGCGGCCGATGGCAGGCGGATGAACGAGGTTCGAGCGGAGTGGCAGAGTCGAGCGTGTAGCTGGTTTGCTCGTTGTCCGACGTTTCGAGGACGGGCAAGCTGCTCTCGGACGCGGCGAAGACGCTGGTCGTGGCCACGATGTTGGTTAGCGGGAAATCGAGGTGATTGGGAAGCCGATGATTTGGAAATTGATCGACGACGACGAGGTTGGGAAGCGTGCTGGTCGGCAACGACGACGACGACGACGACGACGACGACGACGATAATTCAAAACGCGAGGATCGCTGGCAAAGAGGAGGAGCAACGGCGTGGCAAACGTGATGGTGATGTTGTCGGTGCTCCCCATGTGGAAACGTGGCATCGGCGAGGACCGCTGGTGCGTTCTCTATCATGTCGATGGTGCTGAAACAGACGAGGAAAGAGTCAGTCAGTCAGTCAGTCAGTCAGTCAGTCAGTCAGGTTCGGCGAACGAGGGGAAGCTAGAGAGCCGATTTCGGTTCGCGCAGAGAAAAAGGAGAAGATGAGAAAGGGGGGTAGAGGAGGAGAAGCGACTGGAGTTTCGCGCTCGATTACCGGGAAATGAAGCGACTGCGGGCGATAAGCGCGGTCGACGACGAAGCGGCCCCGAGGTCACCGCGTATACGTGGCGCGTTCGTTCTGATTCGCGTCGCGCGTCATCGTTCGCAGGCTGGCGTTACGTCACGATTCGTCGCGATATTCGAAAGAAAGATCGATTCGGTCTAGTTGCAAGGTTGTTGCACGAACAGGTTATGCAACGTTATGTGCGGATCGACGCGGCGATGATTGCGGCGCGGTACGAATCGGGGGCAGGGGAAATCGACAGAGCGCCGCGACCACGTCCGACGTGTCGAAATTCGACGGATTTCAAAGGGACGCGCGCGGATTTCGAGCCATCGGTAGCGCGAATGATCGAAGAAAGAGAGAAAGAAAGAGAGAAAGAGAGAGAGAGAGTGAGTACTCACGGTAGGAGATCGAAGAGGAAGGAAGAAGATGGAGATCTGGGACGAGCTTCCAAGTGTCCAAAGGCGATCGACCGATCGTCGAATCGGCCGAGGTCTACTTTGGGGGCTCTCTATTTTTCATCGGCCGTGCATTTTCGTACGGTTAGGTTACCGAGACGTTAGCCGGAGGCTAACGAGGGTCAACTCGACGCTCAATTGACGGTGCGTGTCTAAATTGGCGGTAACGCGCGCGCGGTATCGATCGGTATCGACGGTCGACGGCGAGTACCGCTCACCTATGCGACCTGTCCGCGACGAGACGAAGAAACGAGACAGAAAAAGAAAAAGAAAGAGAAAAAAAAAGAAAAGAGAGAGAGAGAGAGAGAGAGAGAGAGAGAGAGAGAGAGAGAGAGAGAGAGGAGGAGCGGTGGCCGGTCACGAGGGAAATTCCGTTGGCGTAACGCGCGCGCGCGCGCGCGCGCGAGAACTTTGGAGCAAACGTCTGCAGAGAATTCTGAACAGGTTGGCGATATACACGATCAAGCTGGCGATTAAAGCTGGCGGTTAATCTGGCGGCGAAGCTGTTAACGGCGGTTTGGTTAAATCGGTTGGTTTAAGGCTGACGCGCGAGTTACCTTCTTTCTCCGGCGATTGCTCGGTGCGATGCTCGAAACTTTCGCGTGGTGATTTTCGCGCGAGGTGCTGGTTCGAAGCGTATCGCGACGGACCGGAGCGCGGTGGCAAAGCGCGCGGTTCCCTCTCGACGAACGTAGGTGGTAAGAACGCGAGACGTAGAAAGATCGACGAGGAGGAGAGGACGAAGAGTCGGCGAAGAGAAGGCGAAGGATGACGAGGGAGGGGCGGGAGGGGGCTAGGGGGAGGAGGAGGACACACACGCGACGCGAGTCAGCTCCCGCAGTGACGCGACCGCAGTGTCGAAATCGCGAGAGCGAGCGCGCTCTCCGCGCGCGGCCTGATAAAGTCCGTGGAGCGATTCGTCGAAAAAATGCCCGGCGAAAGAAAAAAGAGAAAAACGCGAAAAGAGGCGTTCGCGATTCGAGCTATCGAGCAACTTACGTCACTCGGAAGATACTCGCCACTGGCCGCGCTTCGCGACCAGCTCGCCTTTTTTTTTTTTCTTTTTTTCTTTTTTTCTTTTTTTCTTTTTTCAACGCCCGCCGCCGTTATCGCTGTTCCCACGGTTTATCGCAACGGCGAATCGATTGTCGTCATGTCCAGTACCTCCCCCGTTACCGATCCAAGCCTCGATCTCTCTCTCTCTCTCTCTCTCTCTCATTTTCGTTTCGCGATGAACTGGCGAGCACAGCGTGGGTTCACCGTGAATGCGGCCTCCCCCTCCCACTCCCCCACCCCGTCGAGAGAAGAAGAAGAATCGACACGGGAAGATTACCGGAGAAACGGACAGACGCGAACGTACGATCGCGTACGAACTGACTGGATCGGGGAGAATCGGCCGCGAGCTCGACGGAACAAATTCGCGGCGATAACTAACTAACCGACCGACCGAACGACGGAACATCGGCGAACGAAACTCCGGACGCGGAATCGTCGCGGTCGTAGCCGTGGTCGCGATCACGATCGCGATCGCCCCGACCGTCCAGTCACCGACGACGAACGTGCTTCCTGTCACGCGTCATCCGCGCACTCCAACGTTGCCGACTTTTTTTTTTTTCTTCGGCGGTCGAAGCTCGACTTGACTCGAGTCGAGGAAAAAAAAAAAAAAAAAGTAAAAAAAGAGCAAGAAAGAGAAACGTAGTTGCGCAAAACAAAGGTCGCAAAGGACGAACGGACGATCCTCAGAGAGGACGGTGCAGCAGCAGCAGCAGCAGCAGCCGCAGCAGCCGCAGCGCGACGATCGACGTGGACGTTTTCGCGCGGGAATTCAAGACGTAAATAGCGAGAGGTCGACTTTGCTCTAAAATTATTCGACCGTTCTGTTGACGATTGGTTCGCCGCGCGGTCACGTAGTCGTCGCGACTAGAACGCGGCTAGAACGTCGTTCGTTGTTCCGTCGGTCGCTTCGTCTCTTCGCCTCTTTCCACTTTCCCAGCTCGAAAAATCTCGACGCCGGACGTTCGCGAGGCATTCGACATGACGTCCGAAGCGGAGACGTCCTACAGGAACCTGTGCTCCCTGGAAACTCTCAGATCCGGCGGCAAGGGATTCTTTCGTGATTTCAGCGAGAACGTGATCCAAGTGGCCGGCGAGCAGTGGATCGACAAGGTATTCGGCCGATTGACCAGCGACGAGGGCCGAGTCCGCGCCGTCTTCACCGACGTCAAGGTGAAGGACACGGTGCTGGAGACGTTGAACCGAACGGAGATTCTCTATCGTGGCAAAGACGCGAGCGTCTCGAGGTCGAAGAGGCTCGAGGGATTCGAGGCGGCAGCCGCCGGTCGACACCGCGACGCTCTCCTCCTCTTCGGTCAAGCGGTTCTTCGCGCTCCTCATCTAGGTTTCACTTCGTCTCTTTTTCTTCTCTTTTCCTTCCTTTTCCTCTTTTGTTCTTTCTTCTCGCGGGCAAATTCTTTCTTCTTCCATCGATCCTCACTTTCTTTCGTTTTCTTTTTCTTTTTCTTTAACTTTTTCTTTTTCTTTTTCTTTTTCTTTTTCTTTTTCTTTTTCTTTTTCTTTTTCTTTTTCTTTTCCTTTTCCTTTTTCTTTTTCTTCTTCTCGTTTTCTTTTTCTTTTTCTTTTTCTTTTTCTTTTCTCTTCTGCTTTCAGGGAAATGCGACACGGTCGATCGAGGATTCGGCTTGCCGCTCGCGCTACTGGGTAGAGCCGAAACATTCCTCGCCTTGAACCAGCACCAATTCGCGCTTCAAGATCTGAGCTTCGTCGAGGAGATGGACCGCCATCTTCCGAACGAGTTGAGGTGAGCCGCTGCATCCGGAAGGAGGTGAATCGCTCGAGTCGCGTGCGATAAAATGAAAGTGTGCAGTGCCAGTTTAATAAGAAATAAGTGGGCTTTCTCGTTTCTCTGAAAAAAAAGAAATATTCTTCTTTGCACAGATCGAAAGTATACGTATATACCTGAAATATAATGTTACGCGCTCGATCAAAATTCATACCAGAACCACCAACTTTGATTGACGCAGAAAATTTCCATCTTAAAGTAGAGAAAATAGAGAAATTTTTGTAATGCAACACACTTTCGATCTATGCGAAATTTTTTACAAGAAGAATATTCTTTTTCAAAAAAATGGCGTCCACATTCTTATTAACCATTTCCGCCGTCATTGAAGTGTACACACTGTACGAATCATTTTCCGACTCCGTTAATCCGTTTTGAAATAGAATCTTTTTCGAGTTTTCTACTAACATTTTGACAAGAACCTAGAATGTTTTTTTTAGACAAACTTTAATTTTTCAACAAAAATCTAACCTCAAATCTAGAGTTGTAGTTATAGGCGATCTTTTCCGAATTGCCCAATAGGTTAAGAAAGATTTTTCATTGCAATAATTTCTTATCGTCCAAATATTCCACCATGGAATCTTTTTTGAATTTCCTGGTAACATTTTGACAAGAACCTAGAATGTTCTTTTTAGACAAACTTTAATTTTTCAAGCAACAAAAATCTAACCTCAAATCTAGAGTTGTAGTTATAGGCGATCTTTTCCGAATTGCCCAATAGGTTAAGAAAGATTTTTCATTGCAATAATTTCTTATCGTCCAAATATTCCACCATGGAATCTTTTTTGAATTTCCTGGTAACATTTTGACAAGAACCTAGAATGTTCTTTTTAGACAAACTTTAATTTTTCAAGCAACAAAAATCTAACCTCAAATCTAGAGTTGTAGTTATAGGCGATCTTTTCCGAATTGCCCAATAGGTTAAGAAAGATTTTTCATTGCAATAATTTCTTATCGCACAAATATCCCACTATGGAATCTTTTTTGAATTTCCTGGTAACATTTTGACAAGAATCTAAAATGTTCTTTTTAGACAAACTTTAATTTTTCAAAAATCTAACCTCAAATCTAGAGTTATAGCTGTAGGCGATCTTTTCCGAATTGCCCAATAGATTAAGAAAGATTTTCATTGCAATAATTTCTTATCGCACAAATATTCCACCATGGAATCTTTTTTGAATTTCCTGGTAACATTTTGACAAGAATCTAAAATGTTCTTTTTAGACAAACTTTAATTTTTCAAAAATCTAACCTCAAATCTAGAGTTATAGCTGTAGGCGATCTTTTCCGAATTGCCCAATAGATTAAGAAAGATTTTCATTGCAATAATTTCTTATCGCACAAATATTCCACCATGGAATCTTTTTTGAATTTCCTGGTAACATTTTGACAAGAACCTAGAATATTCTTTTTAGACAAACTTTAATTTTTCAAGCAACAAAAATCTAACCTCAAATCTAGAGTTATAGCTATAGGCGATCTTTTCCGAATTGCCGATTAGGTTAAAAAAGATTTTTCAGTATTTCAGATTTTGCAATAATTTCTTATCGCATAAATATTCCACTATCGAGTCTTTTTTGAATTTCCTGGTAATATTTTGACAAACCTAAAATAATTTAAACAAACTTTAATTTTTCAAGTAACAAAAATCTAACCTCAAATCTAGAGTTGTAGTTATATGCGATCTTTTCCGAATTGCCCAATAGGCAATTAGGTTAAGAAAGATTTATCGCATAAATATTCCACTATGGAATCCTTTTTCAATTTCCTGGTAACATTTTGACAAGAACCTAGAATGTTCCTTTTAGACAAACTTTAATTTTTCAAGCAACAAAAATCTAACCTCAAATCTAGAGTTATAGCTATCGGCGATCTTTTCCGAATTAAGGTTAAGAAAGATTTCTCGTTGCAATAACTTTTTATCGTACAAATTCGAATAGAAAAAAATATAAAAGCTCGTCTCGGTGGCTAAAGCGTATTATATACATATTTTTAACGTGTGATTGCTCAAAAATACGCCAATAGATGCCGTCAATATATCCGGCGCTCCTAATGAAAGGGTTAATTAAACACAAAGTGTTCCTCCCATGTAAAAAGGAACGTCAAACGGGCGTTCCTCTGTTTCAGAACAATGTTCGCACGAATCAAGAAGCCGTGCGAGGCGTTCGTACGAGCCAACGAGAAGAGCCTGTTGCCTGTGAAACGATCGCCGGAAGGAACAGGTGAGTTTTTTCGCTTTTCTAATCGAAACCGAACTGACTCGAGTTCCTCGAGTCGAGTATGTTCGCAGCGGTGACTCGACTGGCCGGCGGCGCGAATCCGCGACTGCCGACCGCCTCGACCCTGCTGGACATCGAGGAGACGGAAAAAGCGGGCAAGCGGGTGATCGCGGCCAAGCCGATCGAACCGGGCGACACACTGGTGGTGGAGGAGCCGTTCGCGGCCACTCTGTTGCCGGAGTTCTTCGGCACTCACTGTCAACATTGTTTCTCGAGGTGAACAGACCACTAGACTGACCGAGTCATCGAGTACTCGAGTCATCGAGATGGACAGCGCGGTCGATCACTTTCTTCGTCGAGAGCGGCCGCGTCATCGTTTCAGGCTCGTTTCAGGTTCGTAGCTCCGGTCGGGTGCCCGGACTGCAGCAGCGTCGCGTTTTGCGGAAGAAGATGCAGGGACGTTGCGGTCGCCAGTTACCACAAGTACGAGTGCAAAATTCTCGCGCTACTGATAGGTACGTAAACGAATGAAGGTTTGCGACACTTGAACCAGCAGGGTCGTGTCGTGTGACCAGCGATTCGCATTACACGGAGTAATCGGTGGGCAACGAAACGATCGCTTCCGTCTCGTCGCTTTGCCAGGTTCCGGGATGAGCGTTTTGAGCATGCTCGCTTTGCGAATGACCACTCAGGCCGGGCCAGCCGGTTGCATGAGGATTCATCGCGCGTTAAATCGTTCGAGTTCCGTGGCTTCGAACGAGCAAGAACAACAGCAGCAACAGCAACAGCAACAGGTTGAGCGATCGTCGTCGCAGCCGAAACTCAGCAAGTCCGCGAAACGTCGTTTGAGAAGGAAGAAACTCGGCGATTCGAGGCATCGACTGCCGTCCAACGAGAGGGAATCGCCGCAACACGGAAACCAAGCGAGAGAGACCGAGGAGAAACTGGAAGGTGAAGACGACCCGTCTGTGACCGATTTGCGAGTGTACCGTCTCATCACGCACGAGAAACGCAGGACGGCGAGGGACTTTTTCGAGAGGTCGTTAATGGCGGCGTTTCTCCTCAAGTGTTTGCAGCGAGTCGGCTTTTTCGAGGGGGCGACGAAAGACGGAGGTAGGTAGATACACAATCTAGACGCGATCGAGAAAGGCGTTCACTTTGGTGAGTTTCAGAGGCGCCCAACGATCGAGAGATCGCGGTGGCAGCTCTGCTGCTGAGACACCTTCAGCTGTTGCAGTTCAACGCGCACGAGGTGTTCGAGACGCGACTCGGAAGGGAACATCAATTCCGCGGTAGTAGACCCGTCTACGTCGGGGTGGCCATCTACCCGACAGTTGCCCGCTTCAATCACGACTGCTATCCCGCGGTAACCAGGTATTCTACAATATCTATTTAACACATTGTTCACCGATGACCGGCAATACCAAGATTTAACTCCTTGCGCTGGCAACTGATTGCGGACTATAACGAGTGACCGAACCGTACAATAACTAGTCGCTTTCTTTTTGAACTCGTCAGTATATCACTGGATAGAAATTATTGAGAAGTAATAAATTAATTTTTTGTTTTACCCGAGTTATACTTAAATATACTTAAAACTGAGAAACTGTTGCAACTTTGGGACAAAAAATTCTCAATGTGCGTGGCACGTCATTCCAGCCCAAGAGGTTAACCACTTGTGCTGGCAGCTGATTGCGGACCGTAACGAGTGACCGAACCGTACAATAACTAGTCGCTTTCTTTTTGAACTCGCCGGTATATCACTGGATAGAAATTATGGAGAAGTAATAAATTTTTTGTTTTACCTGAGTTATACTTAAATATACTTAAAACTGAGAAAATATTGCAACTTTGAGACAAAAAATTCTCAACGTACGTAGCACGTCATTACAGCCCAAGAGGTTAACCACTTGTGCTGGTTGTTGATTGCGGACCGTAACGAGTGACCGAACCGTACAATAACTAGTCGCTTTCTTTTTGAACTCGCCGGTATATCACTGGATAGA